ATCATTGGCTGTCGCGGGCCAGATTGATGACAGTAAATCATTGGCTGTCGCGGGCCGGATTGATGACACTGGCGGGCCGGATTTGGCTCGCGGGCTGTAGTTTGGAGACCCCTGTATTAGACAATGGAAGTCCGAACTGATGAAATACATAATTATTTTAAATCCATAATAGATCACTCCTCAAGTTGGTACCATTATTTTTAACATGACACTTGACACATCCTGTCTCAAGGTGCCCTTCTTTCATATAATACTGTGACTGAACCACATGGCCTAAATCCAAAAATGTATTTTCTTGGCTATCAGCCTTTTTTGTTTTATATAAGTCAAATATTACAAATATGCCATGTACTCATTTTGATACTTCCTGTTGCCTGACAAGTAAGTAATCATAAACAGTTTTCCAAACTTCATAACCTTTAAAATTTTTTTTGCAAATTTCAATTTTCACAAAACTTTCTTTTCGATTAGATCACTTACTTTCAGGTGAGCACTGATGATGACGAAAGTCAGAAACACTTTGCAATAATTTTATAATTATACACTTTCATACAAAAACCTTTTGGATTCATTCATTCAATAAGTGTATTCAGCTTCCCAAATCTATTTGAATCTATTTAAACAAATTATGTTTGGTTCGAGTGAAAAAATCAAGAGAAAAATAGAAAAAAAAAATACAGACGCGTTATTAGAAAAAAGAGTAGTATTACATTTAAAGAGACAGTAATAAAAGCTGCAGAGGCGCGCAGTTTTTCTACTAGTATATTCCAAATTTAATATCTAATATCAGTATAGGGAATGGCAACAAATTCCTTATTGAAACCAATTACAAAATTTCCGAACAAAATTATAAGGTACACAATTGTGTTTGTGTTGATGTTTTGTTTGTGTTGTGTTGGTGGTTTTTGTTTTGTTTTGTGTTGTGTTTGTGTTTTGTTGGTGGTGTGTTGGCGTTTGTTTTGTTTGTGTTGTGTTTATGTTTTGTTGGTGTTATGTTTATGTTTTGTTGGTGTTTTGTTTGTGCTATGTTTATGTTTTGTTGGTGTTTTATTTGTGTTGTGTTTATGTTTTGTTGGTGTTTTGTTTGTGTTGTTTTGTTTATGTTTTGTTTTTTATGCTGTTTCTTTTGTTGGTGTTTTGTTTGTGTGTTTATGCTTTGTTTGTGTTGACTTTTATGTTTTGTTTATGTTTTGTGTTAATGATTGTGTTTTGTTTATGTTTTGATGGTGTTGTGTTTGTGCTTTGTTGGTGTTTTGTTTATATTTTGTTTGTGTGTTGTTTATGTTTTGTTTGTGTTGTGTTTATATTTTGTTTATGTTTGTGTTGTGTTATGTTGGTGTTGTGTTTATGTTGGTAGTTTTTTGTGTATTGTATGTGTTTGTGGTGTATTGACGTTTATGATTTGTGTTTATACATTATTTATGCTTTGTTGGTGTTTTGTTTGTGTGTTTATGCATTGTTTATGCTTTGATGGTGTTTTGTTTGTGTTGTGTTTATATTTTGTTTGTGTCGTGTTTATGTTTTGCGCTTGTTTTGTTTATGTTATGTTTATGTTTGTAAACACCACATAAACACAAACAAAACATAAACACACCACAAACAGTTGTGTTTTGTTTATGTTTTGTTTGTGTTGTGTGTNGGGTTAAGGTTTGGACGTGTCTCTAATATGTAAAATTTTCTTGAGACAAATAAAAATGAAATGAAATGAAATGTATTTAGTATCTTTAGTTTTGTTTACGATTTTACAAACTTTCTTTTATAACAAAATTGTACTGTGATTTTATCACTATATTATTGTATCGCGTTTTATATTGTATAATGTATTTATTATCTTTAATTTAGTTTAAGATTTTACAAACTTTTTTTAATAACAAATTGTAATTGGGGCTAACCGTTGAAAAAAATAAATAAATAATAACTTCAAGAGAAAATGCATTCATAACTCATTCCAGTTCATTCTAATATTCACTTTCTCACAATAATAAGGACCGTTTACAGTTTTTTTTCCCACATTATGAAATGCATCTGGGGTAATTTCGTTGTAAACACCTCTTTTTCTATTCACGAGTTCTTAAATGATCTGTGGTTGTATGCCATACACTTCAGATGTCATATATCTTCACGAAAACATCTAGTGGCGTCATATCAGGTGCTCTAGGAGGCATTTCTGTAGAACTACGTTTGCCTATCGACCGATTTGGATAACTTTCATACAGACACTCCGAAACTAGGCTTTCATAATGGCAAGGTAGTTCCTCTCGCTGGAATGTATCATCAGTTGGGGGGGCTATTTACATCCGCACTGTTTACGGTTTTCAGTTTTGTGTTCTTTGAGTAGTAAGTTGCTTCATACTTCTTCTAACCCTAATGCAATAGAGGAGTGGGTGTCACTCAAATCAATCAATCAATCAATTTTGCTATATGCAACCTTTTCAGTGACTATTTCTCAACTGTCAGTAGTAGCATATCCAAACCTGACACTAAAAATATCAATCATATGTCATCTGCTCATCAAAGTATTTATTTAGTTATCTCAAATGCTAAACTTAGTTACTAGAAATACAACAATTGATAAAAGCTATTTGGTTAGATTAAATAATGAAAAATATTCGTAGATAAACAATTTAGTTTTATGCCAACGTTTCGGACTTTATTAAATCTATCATCAGGGCTCAAACATTAGTTATCCATGTCAAAAAAACGTTTAAAATATAAGTGTCAAACATTGGTACAAATGAAAATGAGGACTAACCAAATGAAAACACATACACCACAGACACATTTTTAACGTGTATGTGTTTTTAATAACGTGAGCAAAACAATAGCAAAATCAATACTCCTGACCGCTCTGGACTGAATGATTCTGTACAGTCCATCTCGTCTTGTGTTTGTAAATATTTTGCTGGAAAAANCTCAACTACATCAACCTTATAGTAGATTGACAGTATCAAAGAATCACTCCATGTGCATTGGGGTTAAACTATATAATAGACTTAGTGACGACATCCTCAAATATCAATGTCTTTAAAAGGCGTCTCAAGATTTTTTTTATTGCAAAAAATTACAACTCTGTGGATGAGTTTCTCCTTGAATTCTACTTTGATTGTAGCTTATTAACTTTTTTTTTATGTATGTTTCATGTTTCATATTGACTTTTTTATGTTTGTTTGACCTGTTGAATTGGCCAGTATTTTATGATGGTGTTATGTTTTTGTCTAATATGATTGTGAAGGAATACTGATTCAATAAATGTTTGATTGATTGATTGATAGACACTCCCAAACCAGTCTTTCTTAATGGGAAGGTAGCTCATCTCGCTGGAAGGTATCATCAGTTGGGGGGGGGCTACATCCCCATTTTTAGTTTCGTGCTCTTTGAGTAGCAAGTTGCTTCATACTTCTTCTAACCCTAACGCAATAGAGGAGTGGGTGTTACTCAAGTTGCCGCTTCAACAAATAAAACACTTGACTGAGACCTTCATTTATCATAATTTGACTAAAAATGAATATATTGATATATTTATGAAATACTGGATAACATAATCATAAGGAAAATTAAGAAGTGAAATGAGCATCGAGGACAATGCAGACAGCCAAAGAGGCTGTTACCAACGAAAACATCAAAAAAGTCCAAAAAGTGGCAAGTATGCTTTCAAGCTCTCTGCCTTGGATTGACTTACCTGGTATCGATGACTAGCAGAGTCTTTATCGAGACAGTATTTCCTCAAGTTATTTTTGAGTTTCAAGATATTGGGAAACTCATTCTCAAGAACATGTTGCAAAGGATCGTAAACCAATTCCTGCACCTTCAATTCGTGTTCAGCAAATTCTCGAGCTAGTTGTTGTTCCACTTGGCCACATTCCCTCAATACCTGTTGGAACAAATAGCATTCTCGAGATTGCTTGCTCTCGTCTAAGAACGTTGTACCCAAATGATATTCTGGAGTTTTTTTCTGAAACAAACATTGCTAATGAAAACACATGACATAAAAACACGACATTAAAACGAAAAAATTTTTCAAACAACCTATTGAATTACCTATTTTCCTAGACGTAATACTGCAATGTAATTGTTTTTTCAAAATCTACCTGTTGTATCAGAATTAATCATTCATCTAACTAAGGTTTTTAACAACCTACTGTAATTAACTAAAATCTCTAATCTTCAGGAAAAAATTACTAAACAAAGAAATTCAAAGGACAAATGATGTACAAACTTATCTTGAATTTTCCCAAGTTCGTTCTCAATGCAAAGAGCTGAGTAAAAATTGTTACAAAAATTACCTAAACATTATTGAATATAATATTCAACAAAACCCAAACTTGTTTTGGAAGCACATCTCCAATTTACGCACGGCATCCTCATACCCTCAATCAATGTATCTGTGAAACCAGAACAGTCATAGTGGAAATGATTCTGTCAATTTGTTTGCCCTACCCTTCGCAAAAGTCTATTCTAACAGACTGTATACTTCCAAATTACTCTTATGAAGATATAGTTGATATTGACAAAATTAATATTGGATTCAAGGCCGTAGCCAGAAAACAATTTTGGAGGAGGTTTGGTTTGAAATATAAAAATAAAGACAGAAAGAAAATGGTGTTACATGATCATATATATTTTCTCAATGGACCATCAGTTCCCTCACACCCCCATACGGCTGAGAGGAATGAAATCTGAACTGGCTAAACCTAATAACCATTGAGGTTATCCGGATCATATATATTTATTAGAAAACCATTACATCCTTTTACAAAATCAAATTTAGTATTCCAGCTTTCTTTGCAGCAAACAAATCAATTACCTCCTCGGTGTCGATGTCAGTTCTACGGTGGATTGACATTAACGCCAAACCGTTTAGTCGTTCCTGGCTTGTAGAGTTTCTTGAATAAGTTTTTAGGCGTTTCAGAGAAGAGAAAGTCCTCTTAGGTGTACATGTGGAAACAGGAATTGTCGCCAAGATCTTTAAAAGTTTGTATGCACATTGCCGAAAGATATTTCCATTGTGTTTCGGGGAAGTTTTTTTCAATATTGTCTTTCAAGCACTTGGTTCGTTTTGCCAATGACTTGATAAAATTTCTAACGGATTTTATAATTCCAATAGTATCTGTAAAAGGGAGGTGAGTGGCACTTAGGCCAGATGTGACCCGAGAAGTTGTCCTCCTAGGTCATCGTCCATCGAGTCCATCCTGTCCTTTCCAGGAAGGTGGACAGATCACTAGGAGACATCTCCTGTATATAGGCAGGTGTAGGCCAAGACTCGCCGAACACACACTCTCTTATTGACGATAACTCTGGACACTCGCATAGGACATGTCTGACAGTTTCATCTTCCTGTTCACACATTCTGCATAGAGGTGTGTCCACTAGCCCCATATTATGGAGGTGTTTTCTTAGTTGACAGTGGCCAGTCAGAAATCCTACTGTTAAGCGTAGATTTTGTCGTGTCCTTTAATCCACCTCAGGATAATGTTATTATCTACCGATTCTTTAGCTAAATCTTGGTGACACTCTAGTACTAGCCCTGAGGTAACACGTTGTTTGTTCAAGGCTAAGATTGTTAAGTTTTTGCCAGAAATTCCTTTACTGGTTATTTCTTTTGTGGCAATTGAGATACCAGCCAGTTCTGTTTGAACCACGCTGGTATTTTTTCCCATTGCCCATTTAATCCTTAGGCTCAGTGATCTAGCCTAAGGATTAAATGGGATTTGTATCATCTGACCCTGTGTTCTGTTTTATTTGTATTCTGTAGGGTTTATTAAACACAAACCTGGGTTCAATTGCATCACTGGTTGCCTGCAGCAGAGGTTGCGCAGTGAGCGCTTCTCGCCATAGGCCCAGCCTCAATTGACCCATTCCTACTTCGAGGTTTACACCAGCCGTTCGCAATCGTAACATGACCGCTAACGCAACCTTCTCCAGAGGGGACAGGCCAGTAATTAATTTCATTGCCATGGTTGGTGTTGTTCTCATGGCTCCTGTGATGTTTAAACAAGCCAATCATTGTATTTGATATAATTTTTGGATGGCCGTTGCTTGTAGAACTTTCGGGGAGAATCAATCCCCCTTGATCCCCCCTGGCTACGGCCTTGATTGGATTGGTTGATGTGTTTGATGGTATCCATAACTTGAAGCTCAATATTTTTATGGACCTGATGTATACCTACCGACGGCATTGTTGAAGAGCTGTATCTATACTTTAACTGCACCAATACAGTTTCTTTTCAGTCTATATTAAACCTATATTTAAGGAAGATCAAACAGTTTGATCTTGCTCTTGAAAATGATGACTTGGTGATCGAAACACGTGTCGAGGTGTTAAAATAACTGTTTGGTGTTGGGGAAAAAACTCCAGTAATATTCGTGACTACACCAAGGTTCCAAACAGTGCATCATAAGTGCATAAAAGGAATACATATAAATAACAACAAAAATATTTGAAAATAATCATTGGCAGACCAAAATAATCACTTGATGCTAAAAGATAATATATTACGAGTATTTTAATGAACTTGCCTGCTTCAAATATTCCATTATATTGTAGAAACCATTCTTGAGGTGAAACTTTTTGATGAATGTTTTGAGTTTGTTAAATTCCGATGCAGTCACTGATTTATCAAAAATATTATACAAATTTAGATTCAGATTTTGTTGCTAACAACTAGTCTGTGCTGTTGGGGATTCAACATATCTGCAGATCTTGTGTTATACTAATATATCTCGGAGTGTTTCTTAAATTTGTTGTTTCTCTAACAAAACGATGTATATGTATATGTATGTATGATAAAAAAAAAGTTGAAGATGAAATATAATGAAGGAAACGTCACATTGCAAATTGGTTTATTTCTGATAATAACAAATATGATACAGTATTGAAAGTTCCTCTGATTCGAAATAAAGGCGGTAGAGCCAAAAAACAAAATTTAACAATTCTAGTTGTTGGCGAATATTTCAAAAACAACAACTGATATCCTCGATCTGAAAAGAAATTATTCTAGTTTCCCAAAATAGTGAACTTTTTTCCGATTTAATCGATCTTGTAGGTCTTACCGTTCCCGAGATAGCAACAGGTGAAAAAAAAAACGGCCTATATAAAAGCTGAAACTAAAGTAAGTCTACATTTATGAAAAAAAAAACCTATCCAAAATAGGTTTTGACCTAAAATATTACCCACTTCTGGTTGAAAATCTATATGAATTGCAGAATGATCCTTGAAGCCAGGATCTCAGGGACATATCATTCTAGTTTCTTCAGTTGATTTTGCATAAGGTTTATCTTATCTGTTTTGTGTGAAACATTAATTCTTTAACAAATAATGACTCATCTATGTACTAGATTATTTGCAAAACAAGTGGAACAAATCTGATTCTCTTAACATAACAAATTTATATAAACTCAAATTTTCATGAGGCTGAAAAATTAAAAAAGATCCACTTTGTCAATCTAATTTTAATTCGTAATAAATGTTATCAAAAGAAGAAAAAAAATGACGGCTGTAATTTTTCTACAAAATGGCAATCACTTATTGGTTATTTCTCGGAGTATGATTTGTATTGTATGAAATAAAACATTTATTAAGCTCAAGTTGATGAATAAAATACGAACTTTTCTCCAACTCAGCTGTTTCCAACTCATTTCAAGCGGTTTCGTTCTTGTCCAAGATATGGAGTTCTTCTAATCGATAAACTATCCCTGGATATGATTTTACAAGTTGGTCAGCACTGTTAACTTCAAAAAGTGTGAAGACTTAATGGATCCTACTTTCTATAGAAATTGTAGCTTGATATTAGAAATATCGATATTCATCATTAAAAGTCGTCATTTTCCGTCAATTGGTGACTAAGCGAGATTGTTAAAAGTGCCAATTTAGTATGTAGATGGTTTTCAGTTATGGAGAATTCATTAACTGGCGTTTTAATTATTCAAGTAAAAATATAAAAAAAACATGGGAGCCTTGTGCTTTAGGGTGAAAATACAAATCATAAGACCAGCAGATTCTCTATTGATTAAGCTTTGTTCAGCCCTTCAAATCTCCTGGAGGAGACGGCATATTTCCAGCTCTTCTTCAAAAGGGACTGAAAATAATTTTACCTATTCTTATAATATTGTATAGAGCTAGTCTGCCGTGGAACTATATACCACCCAGTTGGTTGTCAGCAAGGGTGGTACATATACCTAAAGTGGGTCGGTATGACCTAAACCGGTATGACCAATCAGCCTTACATCCTTGCTGTTGAAAGGACTTGAGAGGATACTGGACGGACATATCAGGAGGGTGGTATTGTATGCATCCCTCCTAAATAACCACCAGTATGCTTATCAAACAGGCAAAGTTGGTGCCTGAGGGAGCAGATGTCTGTCAACCCCAGCAAAACTGTGACAATCCCCTTCATCAGGAGGAGAAAATTCGACGATCTGGCGCCACTTTCCCTCAATGGTGAGGTCATTCCATTTGGAACGGAGGTGAAATATCTTGGCATTGTCCTTGATAGAAAACTCACCAGGAATGCTCACTTGGAAAAAGTTTTACACAAAGCCAGACTGTCGCTATGAACACGTCGAAGGGTTTGTGGTAAAACTTGGGGTTTAGGTCCCAAACAAATCCATTGGATTTATTAGACGATTGTCAGACCAATGATCACTTATGGTGCAATTGCCTAGTGGCCGAAGGCTTTACAGAAAACGGCCCTGACGAAGTTCTCTGGCTTACAGAGACAGGCTTGTCTGGCTATCAGTGGTGCCATCAGTACCACACTTCCTCTCCACATTTTTCTGGAGAGAGAGGCTAAATAGACTGCCTATAGACTTGTACACATTGCCAATTGCACAAATCAATTTAATGTAGAGTGCAACAGACAGTTGGTTGACCCTGGAAGTCACAGCATTCTGGAAATGACCTCTGACTTTATGCCTCCAACTGCCTTATATGAGTACTGCCTTATAAAGTACTGTTCTTGAGTAGAGAGGACTGGATCCTCAGGGAGAAGGAAATATTATGGGCAGATAGTTGTTGGTTCACAGATGGATCAAAAACACCTTCCAGTTCTGGTGCAGGTATTTTCAGTCGCAGACCAAGGGCCAGATATCAACCTGTCTAGGAACCTATGCAACTGTATTTCAAGCGGAAATTTATTGTGTGCGGATTGGAAGAATCCAACATCATACACAAGTCAATACAAAGATTCTCGGACTGTCAAGTGGCTTTGGAAGCTTTTAGCTTCTACCAAGCAACGTCTAACTTGGCAGCAGATTGCCAAAAACAACTATCCTCGATAGGAAGACTCAACAGATTGTCTCTGGTCTGGATTCCTGGCCATACTGGCCTGAAAGGCAATGACTCCCTTACAAAGGAGGGTGCTGCAAGCAACTTCATCGGACCAGAAACTGTCATTGGCATTGCTATAGGCTTTGCCTAATAAAGATTGAACACCTTGTTGGCAAGAAGATTTATGGACTTCTGGAAGAATCTTTCAAGATTGGCTCACTCCCTTCAAAGCTTGATACCAAAAGTGTTTGGACTACAGTAGGGATAAACTACGATGTCTAACAGGCCTTCTTACAGGTCACTGTCATTTGAATCATGCAGAGACTCAGACTGTCGGAAGACAGTGTGAGTCGCCTCCGTTTGGAAAATGATGAAACAGCAGAGCACATACTTTGGGCCTGCCCCGTTGGGGACCGAATCAGAGAGCTTTGCAGAGCCATATTGTTACTATTTAACCTGAAAGATCACTCACCATATAAACTAATCGGCTTCGTTAGGAAGCAGGGTTTTTTTGGACGAGTGTGAATACGTGTAAGCCACAATAAACCCTGCGGGTTGCGGTGGGGGGTCGAATAGACCCACTCACTTTGGACCTAATCTAACCTAAACTAAGATTTGTTTATTTTTCAGATTGTGTAAGAATTGAGTCCTCCTAAAAAAATTCTCCAAAAGATAAAAATTGCGATGAAGAACTGTATAATGTTGTATAAGAGGTCTGTTAAAAAAATAAGGTGAATGTTNCTACTTCTCTATCCTGATACAAACGGAATAGAGAAAAGTGTTTTCGTATAATTCAGCGTTCATATAAAAATATTTGTTTTTTAGTATTTTTCTTTAGTGTAATTCAATGTTTATTATAAAATAGCTGTTTCGAAAAGGCTTTTTCTTCCAAATTGTGTCCGAAAGTTACTTTTTGCATGATCTACAAGTCTCTGTAATGTTGATTTTTTCAAATTAATTGCTTCCTTCATTTCTTTGGAGGATTTCCACATTTTTTGTATCAAGATGGAGAAGAAGGCTGAAAACTTCTTTCCCAAAAATCAATCTCTCCTAAAAATAGCCTTTCAATTTAAACAAGATTCCTATAGCTGGGATTTAATCAAATAAGGGAATGAATGTTGTCATCGATGACATGGGTGGTTTCTACCCATTCCGCAACAGAAAGTCGTGATTATGAACGAATTGAGTGTTTCTTCTTATAATGTTATCCGTATTCGCTACTGAAGAGCCGATAAGGCGAGTGTCTAACGGGAAATATCGGATGTCTAGCAGGGAGGATGACAGTGTTTCGTGTGACATTTTACTTCTTTCATTAATTATATTGTGCAGGAATCTTGTGAATGATATCTGAATCGATTCCATCACGAATGATTGTAAAAAAAAAGAATATAGAAACTATCACGTGAAAACACTTCACGTACAAATACCTCAGCTAATAATATCCCAGTAGTAAGGTCTTGGTAAAAAAAAATCTTAGGACGAAAAATTCTCGTGACAAAAAGATTTCGGCAAATAAAATATACAAAAACTGATTGTTTCGTTCAATTTCTATCATTATTCAAGACATGCCGTTAACATTTTTCAAAAATCAAAGAATGAATTTAACCTGGTTTCCGAGAAATTTGTATTCACAAGCATGCGTTAAATCTTCGTAAGTTATATGTCATCGCGTTTGTTCCAGTCGACGATGTTGTTGGAGTATTTGGTACTATTATTAATCATCGTTTCTCATCGATAAATCTAAAGCTTCAGGCTGTTTGGTAACGTAATTAGACCGTACTTAGATAAGGTCATCAAATCGTAGGAAAAAAGGTACGTCTTTATTGTTTTTGGATGGTTCATGAAACTATTACCATTACCAACATGAACAATAAACTCGAGGAATGGCACAATGGTTTCAATAATCTTACTGAAGTTCGAAATTCTATCAGCATCTTGATTGAGGAGCAAGCGCTGAGTTTGGACGTATGATTGCGGGAAACAATGGTAATGTTCCAAAAACCAATATCGTTATCATGACGAGCTTTTTGATAATAACGTTGAAGATTAAGAAGAAATTAAAGTATTTTGGATTATTCACGTGAAATTGCCATGTTCTTTATATAATAATATTATTATATTATATTTATTCGAGTTATTTGTTTTTATTTGAATACCATCTGCATTGGTTACTTAGTTTGAGCTGAAAAGTCGATGCAGAAGTAGTAAGAATTGAGATTGATTCAGAGTATAATTTTTCAAATATAATATTAAAATTGTACACTATCTTCATTCTATAATTAAGCGCTTTATTGGCATATTTTTGTATTGACATTTTTTTGGCGAGATGTTTAATTTTCGACATGTTTTCACTGGGATGATTTTGGCTCAAATATTATTCATGAGGTAATAGCGCAAAAGCCCTCAAAATGATTTAAGGGTTATGAAAAAGTGGTTTGATTACAAAGTTTACACTATCCATCTCGATGAAACATTCAATCTACATTTTTTTATGGAAATACCCACTACCTTACACTCTCCCAAAAATCGATGGACATCTACAAATTACTGAAAAGGTTCAATGAAGCCTTCAGTATCATTTACATATAAACTAATCGGCTTCGTCAAAAAGCGGGGTTTATTTGGTCGGATATGAATAGGTGTGAGACACAATAAAATCTTGCATGTTGCGGTGGAGGATCGAATAGACCCACTCACTTCTACCAAATGTTTTGGAAAATCTAAATGTTGCAGCTGATTTTGCAAAACGACCTCATCTACTTCATCAACCACTTCACTATCTTTCAGTTGTACAGTGGCTAAACGGTAGATATCCTGGCAGATGGATTCATCGGAAAGAAGCAATATATGAGGTCCAGTTTTGCAGAGTCCAGCATGTAATCTTATACGGATATGGATTTTAGTAATTTCATCAAGCTTCTCCATTATTATCATTAGCCCAAGAATGAAATGCATCCATGTTTTTGAGAAACCTTTATGGCAGTTCTTTTCAATTCTCAGTCTGTTAGTAGAGCATAAAAATTGTTCACTTCACTCTAATAAAATCAATTCCATTCGGAATATCATTTTCAATTCTTCGAAACGAGTATATTTGTATCTGAACTCATGTACTTACCTATAGTGACTTTTTCGAATGATTCTTCTTCGGTTCGCTCATTTTTCTCTATTGCTTCCATTGCCAGTTGGATCATATCGTAACGTATGTTTCGATTGACGAATCTCTCACGAATAACGTTGCCAATCATGCGATCGAAAAATCGTGTCACTTCTCTGCTTATGAGTGACATCTCCAAAAACTGAAAAAAATCAAAATCTGAAATGACAAATGATGACATTGAAGACCGTTTCAGAAATCATAAATGGAAATATAAACAACCTGCTACACGTTTTATTTCAGTTTTGAAACCCAGTTCCATTTTGATGTTCATTTGATGAAATATACATCCGGTGATTTTTCAAGTATAGGATTTGATTTTCAAAACAACAGAAAATTTGAAAAAAATTTATGAAATCTTTATCGGAATCGATAGAACGATCAATATAATTTAATATTTGAAGATGATTTCATGCAAATGTTGTCCGCGGCTCCGCTTTAGATGGCCCATGGGCAAGGTCCAATTTTGGCACACTCTCTCTAACATATCGACCGGTATTTCACGTATAAATGCTTCAATATTGGCTTCCAGAGCGTCAGAAATAATCCGAAGGCGTTAAATCACACGATTTAGGCGGCCACTTGACGGGCCCTAAATGTGAGATAAACTATTCACCGAAATCGGCTCTTAATTGGGCCATTGTTTCGCGTGCCGTGTAGCATGTGGCACCGTCTTGTTTGAACCACAAGTCAGGCATATCCAATTCTTCCATTTTGGGCAACAAAAAGTTGTCAATCATCACATGGTAGCGCTTGCCATTCTAAGTAACGTTCCGGCCATTGTCGTCTTTGAATAAATACTGCCCGATGATGCCACCGACCCCTAATCCACACCAAACCGTGACTTTTTCGAGATGCACCGGTAGCTCTTGCAACGCTTGTGACTGGTTTTCACTACAGATGCGGCAATTTTGCATATTAACGTATCCATTCAACCAGAAATGATCATCGTCGCTGAACACAATTTTCCGATAAAAATGTGGACCTTCCCCCAATTTTGCCAGCGCCCATTCACCAAATGTTAGACGTTGTGGGAGGTCGTGTGGCTTCGATTCTTGTACCAGCTGTATCTTATAAGGTTTCACACCCAAATCCTTTCGCAAAATTTTCCACGTAGTGGAGTAACAGTGGCCCAATTGCTGCGAACGACGGCGAATCGACATTTCACGGTCATCATGAACACTGGCGAATACAGCCGCGATATTTTTTTCGGTTCTCACTCTACGTATGCGAGTTGGTAGTTTAATGTCCAATAATGTAAACTGGGTTCGAAATTTAGTCACAAGCTTCCGAATAGCTCCCTCAGTAGGCCGACGAAACCCATAAATTGGAAGAAGTGCACGATACACTTTCTTCGCCGAGCATGAATTTTGATAATAAAATTCAATAATTTGCAAGCGTTGTTCATTCGTAAGTCGATTCATGGTTGAATTATAGACCATACTGAACAAGTTTGACAATGACACAAGACAGGATTCACGCGTTCTCCAGGTACCAGCCAAAAAATTCACTCATTATAATGACAATAATAGATCAACAATTTATTCAAATGAACATATTTGTCACCACTACAGAAGTGTTTGATTTAGATTATACGATCATTGTATATAAATGTACTAGCAATAAATTGGCTTCATAGTTGTGAAGATTCCAATCCATCTATAATTCTTCATCTGTTTTGCATATCAAAATTTCTTTTTTATGCTTTTGAACAGGTTATGTATTTGATTTGTCTGTTTTGTGAATATTGTGGTACGTCATTATATTATAATATAGAAGAACGGACTGTTGAATGTCATTTCCTGAATTTGATGTGCTGCATTGTGAATCGTGTTGCGCAAGCCTGATATTATAATAGTAAACATGGTTACCTAAGTAATTTCTCTCAATATAACTACAGCAAGCGCCAAAGGTGATGGCAATGGATCACGCAGGTATAGACTCTCCCAATTTAATTACTATTGTATTACGATAAGTCCCTTGCCGGCCAGTGTCGTACCTATAAGGGTATTCAGGGTAGCAAATGAAACATGACTTCTTTGTAATTTCTTTTTATATTTTATTCAGTATTATAGGTACCAGTACAGTTCATTTGAATGTCATAAAAAGATATACTCTTGACTGAAATTTTTTCAGAAACAACACAAATTATTCAGACAACGCCAAACGCCAACAGAATTGGACAACAAGTAATGGTACGCCTCTGTACAGAGCATTTGTATGACTTACAAGATCTGTAGAGCTGTAGTAGGGGTTACATTGAAAATTAGTTTGTGCGCATGGGGTCGGGCTCGCCATCACGTTTAGCGCTTGCGTTATCGTCCTTTGACTTATCCTAATTTTTCAGTTTGTCAGATGAAAATCTAGCTATTACTTTTCATACTCGTATATGATTCTTAAACTATATTTTTAAAGAATATTCATATTTTTTTAATGTTTTCTTTTCATTTATATTGTGTTTTGGGAAAGAAAGTGTTTGACTTTCTACTGCTCCAACTTGATACGAATAAATGTGGGAATCTTGCAAAGAAAGGAAGAAAGCAATCAATTCAAGATGGATTAGTGGAAAGCCAAAAACTTTCTTTCCCAAAGATTAATCATTCCTAAAAATATAACCCTTTCAATTAATATTTTATTCAAAAAACACTTTATTGGGAGATTTTCACTGAACAGTTTCAAGAAAACTCAACACGTATTTCGCTATACAATAACTTCTTCAGGCGTGACTATACTTAGCTGAAGCAGCTTTTGTAAAGCAAAACACGTATTAAGTATGTTTTTTTGTGAAACTTTTGAGTGAAAATCCCGCAATGAATTTTTTCCAGAAATCATTATCAATTTTCATCAAGTAACGGCTAATTCCATCACATTCATACTGTATTGCATTGCATTACCAATGATGTAAGTTTTTTCACTGGCGGTCATTGATTACACTGCATTTGATCAAAATAATAATCGATACAGGCCTGGATGTTCTGGATCGATTACCGTAAGGCATTTGAACAATATCGTATGAGCTTATCTTGCATTTGCTCAGATGCCTTGCGATACCCGACAAAATAGTGATATGCATTGAACAATTTATACCACTCTGATGAACTCGCTTCACCATAACATCTGGTCAAGCCAGAGTCCAAACAGGGTGGGTCTCTTTCAGAAAGGATGTATTTTAGGGCGATTCTCTCAGTTCCCTTCTCTTCTGCATCTCACTATTTCCATTATCCGTTGCGCTCAGAAATACTCGAGGGTATAACTGTGGCACCTCCGGAAACCGGAGGCACAAGGTCACCTATTTGTTTTATATAGATGCTCTTAAACTTTGTGCCTCTGGAGAAAAGGATCTCCATCAGCTTTCATAACACGCATGCTATCGTTATGAAATTCGGGATAGACAAATGTGCAATGGTCCATCTCAAAAGAGTACGGTGCAGGGACTACGGAGAGGATCTGCAGCTCGTAGATGGAAGCATCCTACACTATTTGGATGCCGGAGAGACGTATACTTACCTTGGGGTGGATCAACGCCACTCACAAGAGGTAACAACAGTGAAGAACTCTCTCTGTGGCAAGTATCAGCACAAACTTTGACAGATCTGGTCATCGAAACTGTCGGGGAAGAACAAAGTTGCTGCAACAAATATGCTTGCCGTTCCAATCTTACTTTACACGTTTGGAGTAGTGAAGTGGACTCGGGAGGAGCTGTATCAACTCGACGTAAAGACTCGAAAAATGATGCATCTTTACAGGAGTTTGCATCCCAAAACGTTCGTTCCACGGTTGTAGGTACTTCCCCCGACAATAGGGAGGTCGTGGACTTTTGAGTTTGGAGTGTCTACATTACAGTATGGTAATGGATGGAGCTTGTAAAGTTGTCAGGAGTTCGGATCCCCTTCTCTGCATGGTCCGCGATCATGAGAGATCAGGAATTGGAGCCTTCATCTTTAGGGCAACTGCCCGAGCAGCTGATGAACACGGTTTAGTTTTCGACACTGAACGAGTTGTTCACAACTCTGTCACCGAGTTGGAACCCATTCAGCAATATTGTCATATAGAAGTCGCAGAGACCACTTCACTTCTGCAGAAAAATAAGGATAAGCCAATGCATGGGGTCTTCTTCAATAACATTGAAGACCCTAGCTCATCAATGCGCCTGACTTTCGCTTTCCTCAGGTCGAGTGGGCTGAAGTCGGAAACTGAGGGGTTCATCATGGCTTGACAGGATGGTGTCTTCAACACATTTGTCTACCACAGTCGAGTAATGGACATAGAGGTTCCAGACACAAGGTGTAGGGCCTGCCGCGAGGCATCCAAGACCCTAATGCACTTGCTATCAGCATGTCCAGCATAGGCGGTCTTGACGCATATCTATCGACATAACGCGGCTATAGAGGGCTATATTACCATCTACGGCACATTTACGCTATTAACGAGACACCGATGTTGCCTTACGCTCCGGGGATATTGAATCTATTGTGGGGAATGACAAGTGCCTAATTTATTGGAACTATTCGTTCTCCACTCTCAGACTCATACAAGCTAATAAGCCTGATGTAGTCCTTTTCGACCACCAGAGCAAGACGATATTTGTCGTGGAATTTTCAGCTCCTTGCGAGACGAATATCGTCGGGAAAAGAGGAGGAGCAAAGGATAAAATATCGATATTCTCTGTCAAAATGGTTGTTCTGATAATTGGAGTACTAGGTGAAATTATGCCTTCTCTGAGTAAATCTAAACCATGAGATGAAATTTCAAATGTTACTTTTCACCTATGTAGTACTTTGTACGAATGATTGCTTGATGATCACACTTATAATTTTAAGATACATTCATTTCACACAAAACGAAGTCGTAGTGAAACTACACAAGAAATTGGTAATTTACCTATAAATATGACTCTGACACTATATCTCAATCCCTTCATGAATCAGAAATGATAAGTGAAATTACCAACCGCGATGAATGTTCAAAAGGCTCAACTGGGTAATGTAATATTCAAGTCATATCCAACTCACCTTGAAAATAGTGGGTAATGTGGAGTAACAATAGAGTTTTATCTTTCTCAGAATTCCAGTGGAGTCTGTTGCTTTCCTCCCCATGAAGTACATTTCGTTATCTGGTTTTTTCAGAGAGTCTACTTCAGTACCAAATACTGATGTTGCCATCACATCGTTCACATAACGAGTGACAGTATCAAACATTTCCAATTCGATCAAATCCTGATTTTTGTTCAGAAAATGGTTCACGAAATTTTCAGAACTTTCTGACATCACTCTGAACATTATTTTCAATGAATTGTTGGTAAAGAATGGAGTGAGAATTGATCTCATATGAGACCTGTCCTCATCTGTAACATCAAAAGTTTATATTATAGATCAACAAGTCACTACTTATGGGTTTAACGAAACAGGTGATACTTTCTGCCTGTAAATTCTAAGATCAAACATGAACCGAATGGTATTATTTTCAAATAAATCTCAGATTAGCTTGAAGTAAAATTAGTTGACAAGTATGTGAATACCACGGCCGCACGAATACCGCATGCTTTTCAAAATGATGTTTCCATACCCGACGTTTCGTCCACAATAGGTTTTTCGGTAATTTCATCAGTTCGGACTTCCATTGTCTAATATGATATAAATTGATTTGAATGCCCTGAAAGAATCTGTGAAAAATTGAAAAGATCAGCAGAAAAAATAATTTTATTAAGAAAAAACTGAAATTACAGTGAAATTACATACAAGCAACAACCAAAAAATAAACAAAAAAATTGTTGACACGATCTGAAAAATAAAAAAAAAAATACAAATTATTAACATGAAATGAAAATTAAATATGATATTGAAAGATTCCAAACCAAGTTACTTCACGACGTTTCGATTGTTAGTATCCACAATCGTCTTCCGGTGATAAGACGATTGTGTATACTAACAATCAAAACCTGTATGTTCCTGTTCTGTTAATCAGCTGTCGCCCCCATACGAACGACAACTCTCAGAAGTTGAGAAACTTGTGCGAGCTAAGAACTAACGAGGTCTTACCTTTCAACGTGTGATTCCTTACAGGGTTGCAGAATCATCCCAGCTTCAACCAGATAAATTCTCTTGAGTAAAATATCTGGTCGAGGCGAAACTCGAACTCACAGCCTTTCGATCGTGAGTCGGGCGCACGCGGCCAATTGCACGTCGTGAAGTAAGTTGGTTTGGAATCTTTCAATTTCATATTTTAATTTTCAGTTCTTGTTAATAATTTTTAATTTTATTTTTTTCAGCTCGTGTTAATAGTTATTTTTTTCTGTTTTTATTTTGGTTGTTGCTTGTATGTTATTTCATTGTAATTTCAGTTTTTTGCTTAATAAAATTGTTGTCTAGTATCAGCTAATATCAGCTAATCTTTTTAATTTTTTACAGAGTCTTTCAGGGTTTTCAAATCAATTTATTTCATATCAGACAATGGAAGTCCGAACTGATGAAATGCACCACGAAACATTGTCAAACACCTTGAAATAAATCCTTTGGTTATGTCGGACAAAAAGTTGTTCACGAAAATTTTTAGACAGCATTAAGAAAACCAGGAAAATAACACCGATGAAATTTACACTGTCTACTTTTGATTGTTTTGTTTTTCGTCTTGTGGACGACAAAAAGTTGTTATCATTTCTTCTATGTTGATAAATAGTCAATTAATAGTTTTATGGCACTTTGTGAAACAATTTTTGTACTATTTACATTTTCTTTTCAAAAACATTTATTTATTTTCATCCCATTTTTGACTAGTAATGGACCAAATCATCTGAAGGAACAATTGGTTCAGGCCAGTCTCAACTCCCTACACTGTGGGTTAATGAAATAAATGACACGTATCAGAAAGCAACTACTCTACTGCCTAATACCACGAAGGGCGTTGGTGTCAGTGCAGGATTCTTCACTGAAGTTATTCCTGCATATGATGTTGGCGGTACAGCTGCCGCAATAGATTTTCAATTATTGAAACACACTTGCAGACCGGTTTCGAGCTGTTTGGCCACTCGTCAGTGCGAGGTAGTGTCTATCATCAACATAAAGCCGATGACTTCCGATATTTGAAAACCTAATTTCTTCAGGGTACCATTCCTCGAACTAGGCTGTACCTTCGCGGTACCTTCGTGGTGACCGATAGGTGTCAGTCCATTAACCTACAGTGTAGGGAGTTGAGACTGACCTGGCCTTCAGATGATTTGATTTATAGCCAGTCCTCAAGTATGTCCACTGACTATATGTGAAAAGTGTTTTTCCTTATAAGAGGAATTGGGCAAATTTTTGATATGCAGTTGGTTACCTCGTTCACAGAAAGATGGGGTGATGACAAACTTGTTGTTCGCTTCAGCCTATCGTTCAGTTATCGGAAATCATCGACTTCATGTTGATGATATACACTAACATGCACCAACGAGTGACCAAACGGCCCGAAACCGGTCTGCAAGTGTGCTCCAATAATTGAAAATCTATTGCGGCAGTTGTATCGCCAACAGCATATGCAGGAATAACTTCAGTGAATAATTCTGCACTGACACCTGTCCAACGCCCTTCGTGGTAGTGGCCAGGAGAGTAGTTGTTTTCTGATATGTGTCACTCCATTAACCTACACTGTAGAGAGTTGAGACTGTCCTAAACGAATTGTTCCTTAAGATGTGAATGGTTATGAACCTATACAGTTATGCAATCCTGTGAATGATACCTGATTCAATTCCATACAGAATGTTTGGAGAACAAACCGAATAGGGAAATATCTTTTGTTTAATCCAGTGTTCATATTAAAGTATTTGTTTCCCTATAATCTATGTTTATATGTTTGTGTCTATAATATACAAATTAGCATAATAGCATATTTTTCGAAATTAGATGTTTTCTTTCTTCCTTCGGAACATTCTCACATTTTTCTCATAAAGATAGAGAAGTAGTAAGCCAAAAACTTTTTTTTTTTAATAAACCCCCCCTAGGAAGAAACCCATCTCTATTTAATTTCAATGTTACTTTATGCGAGCTCAAAATTTTTTTTTCAATAAGAATTATGTGATTTTCCTCCCTGTAATTTAGAATCCGATAATTCTTGTCTGTATTTTTGGATAATCAGGTATCCATTGACTGCCATCATAATGGGGAATGTTCCTCCTGACGATAATCAAGTAGTTTTCATAAAAGAGCTCTAAAACAACGCATTTTAAACTTATCGTTTCAACCTTTTTCTTTAAAAAATTATCTAAATACTAATATAGCGTGCTGTTCTGTTTACTTATGTTCCGAGTTCCGAGACATTCTGTGACATATGACAATTTGTGCACCTAACCTATCTTCCTCTATATAAATAAATAACAAAACAACTGTTGTTTATGTGGCTTGTGGAGGTGGTATTGAACTATAACTTATATTTTGCCTTAATTGTTGATTTAAAAACGTAATTTTCCTTTTTTAAAGTAGAATATCTAGGTACGTATAAATTATTTCAACTTGATATAGGCGCTGTTGCCAATATGCGAATTAGAATCAAATCCCTTCAAAAATGAAAACCCAATATTTGAAACATCAATTTGAATACTTTTAGAAGTGAATTAGAAAAACTCATGAATTAAACTCAACTTTATTTTGTTCAAACTTGCATTTGCTGTAATAACCCAGATTGAGGAACATTTCCCATTATTGCTGGCAGCAATCTGTTTCAATCCTTCACTGAAATTCACATCAGATAAAGCAACTTGTTAGTTTTGTGTTGGGCTTGTTATTGGAAAACTCAAAAATCATTTCATTTATCGGTTCAGAGAACTTATTGAATCAGTGTTCATTCCCACAGTTACTGTAACCAATGAATAATTATAATGTGAGCTTTCTATTAGCTCAGTTTGAGGTCATTAACATTGTAATATTCGTGTTGGAATATTAATTGAAATTGTGGAAGTAGTTTTCAATCCTTGTTTATTTTTAAACAATCTCTCAGTTAAATTTGCAAAGTGACAACTCACAGTCTACTTGACATAAAATAATTAAAAACAACATATACAGGACGAAACATTACAAACGTATCTTCATCTAGTAAACAATAACTCGATTTACTGATTGATTCCCATACCTTAAGAAGTGAATTGGGGACAGGATATACAAATTTATGTTTTTCCTGAACTTCTGGAAGTTGTAGTAAATTGTGAAACCTTGTGTATTTCATCAGTTTAGACTTCCATTGTCTAATATAATATGAATTGATTTGAAATGACTGGAAAAAAAAATAAAAAGATTAACCGAAATGCACATGATATCTTATTAAGCTTTATATCACTTTTATGTGAAGTTATTCTATCTTTAAGAATTCTAGATGTTGTTCCAATATAATCCAAGTTACAATTGTTACAAGGAATGTTATAAATCACATTTAGCTCCTATATTTTTTTTGCATATTTTGATATTTTGTTCATTGAGAAGAAGTTTTATGATATTTGAAGATAAATTTCCAAGCCTAGGTATAGATTTATAAGAAAAATTGATAGGTGAACTATCATTACGTACATTTCTGTTGATTACATGGGAATTTGTATTAATGCCGGTATTGAAAATTATTTCATTAAGAAGTTTTCTAGTATAAGAATTTCCGATCAATATGTGTCTAAGAAGTCTAAGATGTTTTTGCTTGAGGAAAGGGTGTACTAATTTTTCTATTTTTTTCCAAACAGAGTATTAAATTAATTTTATGAAAGGAATAGTATTTGATATATCTTCCTGAATCAGTAGGTTTGACATACCAATCAGTTATCAAGGAATTATCAGTTTTACGAAGACCTATTGCATGAAGAAAAGGAAGGTTCTGATTATTTTCTATTTCGATAGTGAATTGTAACTTTTTATCATATCTATTGACAACATCGAAAATTTCATTAGATTTGTCATAAGATATTGCACAGATGACATCGTCAACGTTTTTCTTTGAAAAATGAATTTCAAAACTCAATTTGAGAAGTATGTTTTCAAAAAGATCGTCCATTACGTATTGAGCAATAATAGTATGATATAACTGTAAGTACGATTTGTAATGTTATTCAATGGCGAAAAAATTTCACAAATCATCAAATTATAGGCCCTGAAGAAGCTTCCCAAAGCTTGGCAAAGTAGAGCAAAGTTTTCGTTTTTGATTTTTCCACTGAGAGACCCCGTTAATTCATTTTACTATAAATACTGTATTATATACTGTATACACAGGGTGTTAATTAAGTATGTACCATAAATTCAACAGACGATTCTTTAGGTAATTTTAAGACGTAATGTTGTAATTTGGCAATGGTTTTTATAACATTAAGGAGCTGATTTAGCCCGAACGAAATTCAAGAGACAAAAAAGTTGTATTTCTAATTGTTCAATTCAAAGAAATAATAAGAATTGCACAAAAGTCAGTGGCGTACATTTTTAAGTCAAAAATATTCGCTCAAATACCGCTCGAGACGCCACTGGACTTAATAAATTGAATCACGTTTGGGCTAAATTAGTTCCTCAATGTTATGAATACCATAGCCAAATTACAACAAAATTAGGTAAAGGATATTCAGGATATTTGGGAATAACTTTTTTTTAATTTTTATTTTAACACCCTGTATCTTGTGAACGA